TTTGAGGAGGGGACCCCCAAGACATGTCCCCCATTCTATACTAGGAGACCCTGTCAGCCTAGCTTCTGGGGACATCGGATCTGATAAGGGATTTTGCTTGCCTCTCTTTTGCTGATGGGGAGACTGAGACCAGAGAGGCCTGTGACCTGACTAAGGTCACACATCTTAAAAATGCAGAACCTAGGGCTGGGGATGTGGCTCAGTTGCTGAGTGTTTGCCTCCTATGCACAAGGCCCTGGGTTGAGTCCCCAGCATCGCCAAAAACAAAAACAAAAACAAAAAAAACCCAGTGGCACCTCGCCAGGTGCAGTGGCACATGCCTGTGGTCCCAGGGGCTTGGAGACCAAGGCAGGAGGATCAGTGGCTAAGTGCAACTGAGTTCAATGAAAAAAAAAAAAATGTGGAGCCTCACCCAGCTCAGTCCTGTCACTACCCTGCTACCGCGCTGGTCATTCAGGAGTCCACTTGTCCCTCTAGGCCATCTGGCAGGGCTGCCTAATGCTTAGCTGAGGGTGCAGCCTCAGAGACCTGGTGGAGAGGCTGGGGGGCCAGCCTCCCTGAGCTTCAGCTTCTCCTCTGTAAAATTGGGGTGGGGGGGACCCCTCCCAGTAGGTTGTTACAGGGATCAAAGAAATTGGAAAGTGCAGCCCTGGCTCCTGGGGGTTGGGACCGCTGTCACCCCTGGGGTGGGGGCTGGGTGTTCCCTGAGGCTCCTCTGCATTGGCCTTTCCTTCCCAGGCAGGCGCCAGCAGCGCTGGGGAGCTGGAGGTAGCAGCCTAGTGAGGGGGAGCTGAGAGTCCCCTAATGCCACAAATCTGGGGCGCAGGCTGGGAGAGTGAGGAAGGAGTCGAGACTGGGCTGAGAAGGAGCCCTGCAGCGTGGAGGGACCCCACCCCAGAGTCATCATGGAGGCCTCCGGGGGGCCAGTCTACAAAGCTCAGAAGAACATTCTAGAATGAGGTCTTGCTGGAGGGAATGAAGAGAGGGCCGAATCCTGGAGCACAGAGGAGAACCAAGAGGGCCGGACAGATGGGCTGGGGAGGCTGCCTAGGGCTGGATCCCCTGGGCTCCCTGGGCCAGGTGTGGAGAAGGGTTCTCAGATGTGATTCTAGAAACTGAAAAGCCAGCAAGTGACTTTAGGTGGAGAAAGAGGTCAGTCTATGGTTTGCTGAATGACCGAGTGACTGAGCTGTCTTCTGACCATATTCACACAGAGCCCTCTCCACCTCGCCCTCCTTCGCTGCCTCGGTTTCACCATTTCTCAGCTCCTGCCCCTGGGCACCCACAATCACGTGCTGGGGGATCAACAGGTCAATGGAAAAATTCCTCCTCCGCAATCCAGCCTCTGCTCTGAGGGAGAGCTGCCAGGGAACCGCTGGAGAGAGGTGTTGAAGGATGAATAGGAGTTCACCAGGCTGCCAAGGCAGAGGCCACAGAATCGGCACAGGCTCAGCGATGGGACATGGTGGGAGGGGTCAATAAGGATGGCAACATTTATTGAGCACTGACTATATGCCTGGCACGAGCTCATTAAAAATCACACTGTTGAAACTCTGCTTTTTTTGAAACAAAGATTGATTTTGCTTTTATGGATGAGGAATTGAGGTTCAGAGAAGTGAAATAACTTGCCCCAAATCACACAGCAATCACAGAACCTGTGTTCTCAATCACCCAAGGAATATTTGGGGGTGGAATTGGAGAGACAGGCTGAGCTGGATCACAAAGGGCCCCCATCCTGGGACTACCGTAGAGCTGTGACAGGGGTTTGGAGGGGGGATGGAACCCAGGGCCACGTGCATGCTGGGCAGGTGCTCTGCCACTGAGCTTTACCCTAACCCACCCACAGTGCTCTGCAGGGTGGGCAGGTAGGCTGAGCCCCACGTGGGGGCAGCTGCCATAGTCCAGGTGGGCGATGATGAGGGCTGACCCCAGAGGAAGGACGCCCTTGACAGGGTCAGAGGGCAAGTTCATGGCCGGGGAGCAGAGGGCGGCCACGGGGGTGGGGGTGGGAGTGGGGGTGGGGGGGAGTGTCTAACAGGAAGCTGATGCTCCCCCCACTCCAGCTGGTTATTGTGATGACATGAAAAGTTCCACATTTGCTCCCTGTGAGGCGACAGGCACGTGGCGGGGTACCTGTCACCCTACCACGGTGCTGGCTGACTCCGCCAGCGCAGGCACAGCACACCACGGTGAGTCTGAGTCTCCATCCAGCCAAGGGCAGAGGGTGCCGCGCGGACGGCAGTGACCTTGAGTAGGCCTAGGGGCGCTGGCATTAGGAGAGGGGCCAGGCAGGGGCCAGGCTGCCCTGGTCTATTCCAGGAGCTGCAGAAAGTGAAGTTTCTGGAAGCCTGGCAGCAGCGTTCCTGACCCCTCTGTCCCTCTCTGGGCTCCCCAATGCGGAACCAGGACCCAGCGTGCCGGTGCTCTGGGGGACTGCGTCCTGCCCACCAGGCGGGGTGGCAGCAGCGGCAGGGAGGAGGGAGGCACCCACCGCAGGCTGCCTGGAGCCGTCACTCATGGCCGCAGGGGACCCTGGCAGGGCCTTCCCCACCAGCCCCACCCCCACGCCGGCCCTGACCCGGCAGCGTCCGCGGGAGCAGGGCTGTGGTGGAGCCCGGGTCTGGATCATGACAGTCCTGGGTCTCCATCCTCAGCCCCGAGTCGACCTTGCTCACGGTTCCTCTGCGCCTCAGCTGCCATGGGGCTTGGTAAGGACGGAAGAAGATGGCGCTTGCACAAGGCGCCCGCCCAGCTCCTGCCCAGAGGGGACTGGAGACAGCCCTTCTCCCGCCCTTCCCTGTCCCTGCAGCGGGGACAGGAGCAGGGCCCGAGCCCCGACCGGACAAAACAGAATTGCTAGAGGCCAGGCGAGGGGTGGCTGGGGAGGTGCCCTGCCTGAGCCCGGAGGGCTGTCAGCTTGGAGTCCAGATGGGCACCAGGGCAGGGCACGCCTGGCCAGCAGCGGCGCACAGATGGCCAAAGCACAGAGGCCCAGGCCAGGCCTCCAGAGCCGGAGCCGGGCTGCAGGGAGGCCGTGCGGGGGCCACAGCTCCTGGGCCTCGGCGGCCCTGGCTGGTCTCCCGGGGTGTCCGTGTCACAGATCTTAACTCCGAGTCCCTCTGCTCTTTGGGAACCTTCTCCATCCCAGACCTTGTCCCCACTGTGATCAGGCAGATGGCTAAGGCCCCAGGACGCAGCTCGACCCAGGTCCTCCCCTGCAACCCGGGGTCCTGGAGGGCGAGTGGCCTCCTCTGGCCTCAAGCACTCTGGGATGGTCATCTGAGCCCCTTTATCCTCGACCCACAGTGGCCCAGAGCGGGCCGGTTCCTTCATCTTTTTTCCTTTTTTGGTACCAGGGATTGA